AGTTCTAGATAATAAAAGTGTATTTCCATAGGGCCAACTGATTCCCACAGAATGTCTTAAGTGCAGACAACAACAAAACAAGCCCTGATTTGCAGTATTTCCCACTTTCCATGGTGTAAATATTCCCACTACAGCCAACTTCAACCTATCAATGTGATGTCACTGAACAGGGATGGAAAAGATGAGCAGCAGCATGTGACACATAATACTGTCAGCTCGCCGATTAAAAAGATAGAGCACAGGTGACAGTAAAGAGTATAGATAACAGTAAAATGCAGTAAAATCACTGAGAAGTGGTAACTTTTGAGTGTGTCTTAACTTTGTTTTAAAATATAATGTATTTAATTTTAGGTTTATATGATTTAATGTTTAATAATTGCTTTATTTAACAACTGGTGCACAAATTCCTGTCTCAGTCCCATTCGGGTCAGATCCAGCACACATCCCTGGAAAGTATCTTCCAGTATCTGAGAAGGATAGGTATTGCTAATCCAGATCGAGTGACTACAGCCAGTCCTTTCCTCATCAAACAGGTAAACATTTTAATGTGTATTATCAGCACATGATAAACCTATGAAAAGTCCAGATTCCTGGGCCCCAGTCCCAGAGATTTTGAGAGTAGATCTGGCATGGGGACCCAGAAGTCTGTATTTTAATAGGCAAGCAACCCTCTCTGTGCCAGACGATTTATTCAGAGGATGTCAGCATCCAACATTTGTTGACTACATATTCTATGCCAGGCTCAGAAACCATGGGCATGAAAGGAACAAAACTTGTCTTCAAGGTGAATACAGAAACCAAGAGTTATAATGGAACTCTAATACTGGTACCTACCACTTTGGGAGAGGAATCCTGAGGAATGGTGTTTGACCTGAGTCTTGAAGAAGGAGCACCAGCTAATCAAAATGACAAGGGGATAGGGAGGAAGGGGTGTCCAGGGCAGAGAGACGGGCAGGTGCATAGCCACACAGGCAAAGAGGACTCAGTCCACTAGGACACCAGCACATGCTTTGGGGACAGTACCACTGATAAGTTTTGTAGCCACATTTATCTCTCATCAGCTTTAGCACAAAGTAAGCACATATTAGTTAGACTATGTTCAGTCACGTGTTCATGTGAGGAGTGGTGGTAGATTAGGCAGAAGAGTCATGCCCAGGTCGGGTGGGACTTTACAGAACGCCTAGCACAAAGTAGGTGCTCCCATTTTGTATTCTTCCTTCAATGTGTTTAAAATTGGTCTTATCGCCATTATAAGATTACTGCTGCGAAAGAAGTTACATGTGGTGGCTAACTTACAAAGTCTAGAAACACAGAAGGCTCTCACGGCTTTTTTAATGGATAAGCTACCTTCTCAGTTGGAGAAAATGACCGAGACTGTGGGTTAGAAATAGTTCACCAAACCAAAGTTCCAAGGAAATGGGTGATTACTACGTATTATTTTTCCCATTGGTTTTACCTTGTTCTAATTCATCTGTTTTCAGAATCCAATGGGAATGCCATAAATGTTATTTTATGTTTCTAAGGTTGTATCATTTCAGCTTTTGGCATTTTAATTAGGTAACCCAATTAACTTTAAAAATCTATGAAGTAACATAATGAAGAAAAATGAATGCCAGAACTACACAATGGGTTAAAGGGAAGTCGAAGAGTAGGAGCTTCTCTACCTAAACAACTATAAGAGTGGACTTGTCACCCTAACACACCAAGTCTGTGGCCACCTCCATGTCATACTGTCCCTTCTCTAATGCAAACCATGCCCATCCATCTCACCTCCCCTCAAGCCCCATCTCCTCCTTGTAGAATATTCCAAGCAGTCCACTGCACAGTGATCTCGTCCCTCTCCGCGCATGATCCTCATCTTCGGATGTAGTCCTATGTGATTATGTATTATGGAAAACCCATCTCCCAACCAGACTTTACAATTTCAGAGAACTTCTCTTGCATGTGTCATGGAGCAGGGCATAATACTAAACATATAAAAGACACTAAACACTTGGTGAGTGAATAGACTAAATGATCTCCATGAATTATAATATTGAAGCTTCAAGCTTCAATTGTTGATTTTCTCACCTCCCCCAAAATGAAGATAAAAACATCATAAAGATTTTTAAAGGTCTCAGACTGGGGACAAAGAAAGGAGGTTATCAAAAGGGATTCCATTCCTGAGTTGTTTTTTAAGTGTCAGCAAAGCTGCAGAAGCATCTATTGTCTCTAACATAGAAAGGCAAAGGAAATTCCTTGCTCTGCTTGCCCATAGTTAAGACTGAGGGGCCTACAATTGAGCCTTGTTGCTAAGTGAAATCCCCCCCAAAACATTCTAGAATATAAGCTCTTTATACTCATCAAAGAAGAAAGAGAACAGGTATCCCCAAGCTGCCTCTATCCCTGTCTTCTTTAACAATTTACTGAAGTACAAAAGGGAAGGACTATTTACAGAATTCCAAACTGAAGCATATATAATACATTTATTCAGTAAATACTATTTCCAATATCATAATAGCTAACATATTTTAACACTTTCTTTTGTGTCCTACAGTGTGTAGGCATTTTTCTGACATCATCTTATCAAACTCTGATACCATTCTATATGAGATAAATACCGTAATTTTCCTCATTTTAGAGATGAGGAAGCTCAGCTTAAGTAACAACTCCAAGGTAACAACGTAAGTCACAGAGCCAGAATCTGTAACCAGGTCTCTTATGCCAAAGCCCAAAGGACACCATCTATGTTTACAAGATTCAATTCCCAACAATGTAAGTACTCTAAATACTTGGGTTCTATTTCAGGATTGTTTTTTCATTTGAAAACTTAAAAATTATTATCATTTTTTTAAAGATTTTATTTATTTGACAGAGAGAGAGAGAGAGAGAGAGCACAAGTATGCAGAGTGGCAGGCAGAAGGAGCGGGAGGAGCAGGCTCTCCACTAAGCAGGGAGCCAGACGTGAGGCTCGATCCCAGGACCCCAGGATCATGACCTGAGCCGAAGGCAGCCGCTTAACCGACTGAGCCACCCAGGCACCCCTGAAAACTTAAAAATTAAAAAAACAAGACACCAAATCAATGATATGAAGAAAAGGCTAGAACAAGGGGATGTCCAGGGCCTGCGGTACCAAGTTTAAACAAACTGGCTTAAAGCCAATTAACTAGAAGATTCCCTACGCGCGCGCACACACACACACACGAGTGGTTAACTGTGGATCCCATGGGCAGACAGACCCGTGAAGGTATCATTTCCCTATCAGTCCTAAAGAGTTTTGGGAAATTTGGATTTAATTTATAACATTTTAATATTCATTCCAGGCACAGGCCACATGCCATGCAGGCTTTGTAGGATGTTCAGCAGAGGAGAACTCTAGAAAATGCTTTTATTGAAGGACTTTTGGTCTTGCATTATGTGTGTATACTAATAACCTCCCTTGAGCAAAGGCAGCTTCAGAGAAAAGAAAAGGGCCTAGAGGGGCACCTGGGTGGCTCAGTTGGTTAAGCGACTGCCTTCGGCTCAGGTCATGATCCTGGAGTCCCTGGATCGAGTCCCGCATCGGGCTCCCTGCTCGGCAGGGAGTCTGCTTCTCCCTCGGACCCTCCCCCCTCTCATGTGCTCTCTCTGTCAAATAAATAAATAAAATCTTAAAAAAAAAAAAAAGAAAAGGGCCTAGAAATTAATGTCTGAAAAGAGTTTTCCATATAGCTTCACCTGTTCCCTTAAAGCAAAGAACACAGTAAGGCAAGAGTCAAGCTTAGCTATCATTAACAGCATTGTTTCCACAGTCTGAGGTCAGCCTTAAGAGGAAGCTAGCAATCACGGGGTATAGTTTCAGGGATAGCTGAAGGCTATTCCCTATCCCCTAATTAACACTTCTACTGGTTGTTGGTGCTTGAATTTCCACAAAAAAAGAAAATCCATTTCTTTGGCTTTAGACCCAGTCTTGTGAAAATGCAAAACCGAATACTCCTGGGGTGACAGAATTGTAAGCTTCAGGGTTTATTTACATCCAAGATTCTCCAGGTTTGTTAGATTCCCTCAAGGCAAATTTTGCTAAGGAAAGGAATGCGAGGGGGTGGCAATTTAGGGCATTGAAAAAACCTTGGGGCCAAAGTGGTCAGGAGAGAAGAGAGTTTTCCACTGAGAGATCCTAGTATGCAAAAAAGGGAGTGGGCTCCAGAGTCGATACGATGCAAATTCTCCCTCTCCTGTTGCCATTATCAATTTAGTATAGTCCGCCCCATCTCCTTCTCAAAATCTTATGCGATACAGCAATTATGCGGCTTTATTTACAGGAAAACTGACCCAAACAACGTCAGGCAAAGGATTTGAAATTTACAGTCCTTGGGCAGCTGTTACAAGCACTCAAACTGCGTCTATTTGCAGGCAGAAAGTCGTGACTTCCCAGATTTTAGGTAAGGCACACATTTGTCTGCAAAGAGAGCTGGAGCCGAAATCTCTACCTATCAGGCATAAGGCAAGAAGCCCGGGGAGGGGGGGGGGAAGCAAGCTGGATGGCTCCAGGAAGTGGGTGGGGAGGAAGCTGCAAGGTTTGGAGCCAACTGTAGCAATAGCAGGTTTGCACACGCCTAGCGAAGGGAGTCCCGGGCCACTGCGTGCATTGGTCACAAGCGCTTTTGGCAATGCTGTCCCCTTTGATTCCCGTCATCACCCAACTACACAGCTCGGGTTTGGGGCGTAAAAAGGGCTTGCAAAGTGGGCGGCGGCCGGGGTTCCCGCCGCTGAGTCACAGCCCAGCCAACTTTTACTGCATTTCCCAGAAAGAAAATTAAAAGTCTCAGTTCCGTAGCCCACCACTCGCTTCCAGTTCGCGCTCTCCGCTCTGTGTCACTGGAGCTGGGGGGGGTGACTCAGACCCACAACTGGGGTATTTCCCACTCGTCTCGCAACTTCTCACCCCAGCAAAGCCTCGGGGTACCCCGAGCGCTTGGCAAGCGCTACCCACCAGGCAGATGGGAGAGCAGGAGGAGGGAGGGGAAGGGCTGCGTCCTCACCTGCAGGACACGGACACCTCCACCCGCGTGGCCGGGATGGCCGCGCTCAGCTGGTTCAAGTCCCCGATGCCCGCAGTGCTGGTGTAGCGGCTGTCCATCTTGGGTGGAGGCGCCGCGGACTTGTCCGGCGCCCACATCCAGAGCTCGGGCAGACGAAGGTCTCAGAGCCCAGCTCTCGACAGCCGGGGATGGGGGTTGAGGGTGGAGGCAGAGGAAGGAGGGCGGAGGCAGCTCGCGGGAAGGGTGGGGGAGAGAGAGGGGGAGGCGGACCCGAGCAAAGCCGCGAGGGAACCGCGAGCCAGTCCTGGCCCAGGCCGAGGCCGCCGGGGAAGTGGCGCACGGGGCTCCCGGCTTCCCTGCCCCCTCCTTGCAGGCAGCAGCCCCAGCAGGGGATAACTTCGTGATCCTTGCCAGGTTCTGGGTGCCAGGCTCTGAGGAGGTAGGGGGCACGAGACCCAGACCCCAACCGTCTAGGAGAGCAAGCCCTGGCCGGCTGGGCGCGCGGCTAGGGTTTTGTCTCCGCCTCTACACACCCACTCCCGCCTCCTGGGCCGCGACTCCCTCCTCCTGTCAATCAGGTGTGGACGGGAATGTCACGCAGTTCGCTTGCCTGGGCTGGAAGCTGGAGGTGTGGGTGCCTGGAGGTGTGGGCGCCTTTGCCTGTTCCTGACTCCCCCCATCGTAGGTCCGTCCCTCCTCACCCCGCGCCGGTCCTCACCGAAGCCCATGGAGGTCCCTCCCACCTTGCCTTCGGGCAGGTGAGCCGGGTCCCCGTTTCTGGACTGCCCACTCTCGGCCATCTGAAGGTTGGGGACAATGGGACATGAGGACAGTGTTCCGTATGCGGTGGTAAAGTGACGGATCAAGATCTGGGACAAGGCGGGAACAGGAGGGACTCTAATGTGGAGGGAGGGGGACTATTTGAAAAGAGTTTTCCATATAGCTTCACCTGTTCCCTTAAAGCAAAGAACACAGTAAGACAAGAGCCAAGCTTAGCTATCATTAACAGCATTGTTTCCACAGTCTGAGGTCAGCCTTAAGAGGAAGCTAGCAATCTTAAGGGGCTTAAGGGGACCATTTGGTTTCCCTCTTCCCTCAGTTCCTCGAAATATGGGGGTCTAATTGTGACAGCCCTCCTATAGTCAGGACTCTTCTGCGGCCCCTCGCTTCCAAATGCTTGGAAGTTCTGCCCTGAAACCTGGAGGTCACAACCATTTAACGCAGCTCCCTTACGCCGACTCCCACCGGTAAGACCCGAATGAAACTGGACGGACGGAAGCAGAGAGGAGCCGGAGTGAGCTCCGCATTTGGGAAACTGGATTCTGGGGCAGTCATACTGGTGTCAGAATGCCGAGGCGGCCAACGTCTGGGGAGGTCCCCGCGACTCCCCTCCATTGCAGCGACCTTATTGGCGGCACCTTGCCTCCGGCCTCACCCGTGCGCCTGCGGGTCCCCAGGCGCTAGCCAGCAGGGGGCGACCGAGACCCGGACACGGAGTTCCGCCTAGAAGCGTGGAGCTCCGACCGGTGTCCGTCCGCCTTCTCTTAACGCGCCAACCACGGAGTTTCCAGCCGGCAGGACTAACTCAAGAGAGGTTTTCGTGGTTGAGAACCTGTCGTACGTTGTAACATTTTAATCCACTTGGAGCCACCTGCCTAGGGAATCTGTAGAGTTGCCGGTGAGGACGTGTAGGCACTGTCGTGCCTCTTCCCCTGCCAAGATCCTCCCCGTATTTCATCCTTGGTTTCCTTTCCTGATCTCCTAGCCCACCCCTCGTCATCCCTTAAATCCAGAGGTTCTCTGTTTCTTTTTTTTCCGTCGCTGATTAACCTGTAGTTTATTACTCTTTGGAAATGTCCTAAAACTCCAGACATTACTCTTATGCTGCCCAAAATTAATTTGGGGGACTAGACCTACGTGTATTTTTCTAAGGTTATTTCATAGAAGCCTATGAAGAAATAAAAGTTGAGAACTTTAAAATAGTACCCAGCTAATAAATCCTTTACTTCTTAATTTTTCCAGTTTATTGAGCTACAATTGATATGTAATAAACTGCACATATTTAAAGTGTGCCATTTAATAAATTTTGATACATATATACTCCTATGAAGCCATCACCCTAATCAAAATAATCAGCCATTCCATCACCCCACAAGTTTTCTCAGTCCCTCCTTTCGCCACTAAAAACAACCCTCCAGACAACCCCTGGTCTTCTTTATATCACTGTAGAGAAGTTTGCATTTTCTGTAATTACATATGTATGGAATCATATAACATGTACTTTTTTTTGTGTGGCTTCTTCCACTAAGCAAAATTCTGTTGAGATTTATCCCCACATTGTTGAGCACATCAATAGTGCATTTCTTTTTTGTTGTTGGCTAGTATTCCATTGTATAGATATGCCACAAATTGTTTATCCATTCACGTTAGTGGACATTTTAGTTTCTTCCAGGTTTGAGCTATTACAGATAAAACTGCTATGAACATTTATGCATCTTTATGTGGACATATGCTTTCATTACTTTTGGGTAAATACTAGAAGTGGAATAGCTGGGCCATAAGGAATGTGAATGTTTAGCTTTTTAAGAAACTATTAAAATATTTTCCAAAATAGTTTTACTATTTTCCATTCCCACAGCATTATATGAGTTTCAGTTGCTTCATATCCTCATCAGCACTTATTTTGTTACTCTTTTAAACTTTAGCCAATCCAACAGGTATGTTGAGAGTAGGTTAATGACTAATAATGTTGTCATTATGGGTCTCAGTGTGGATTAATGACATTTTTATGTGCTTATTTGCTATCTGTGTATCTTCTTTGGTAAAGTGTCTATTCAAATCTTTTGCCCATTTTTATTGGGTTATTAGTTTTATTATTCCTTAGTGTTTAGAGTTCTTTATATATTCTGTATACGAGTCCTTTATCACATACAGTTTATAAAATAAGTTCTGCCAGCCTGTGCCTTGTATTTTCATTTTCTTAATAGTCTACCAAAGAGTTAAAGTTCCTAATTTTGATGAATCCAGTTATTCAACTTTACCTATTATTGATTATAAGTTGGTGTTGAATCAAAGAAATCTTTGCCTAATCTGAGGCCATAAAAATGATCTTATATGTTTTCTTCTAGAAGTTTTATACTTTCAGGTTTTGCATTTAAGCCTATGATTAATTTGTTTTTTATCAAAGTTCTCTTCTCTGCACATCAAGATCAAATTTTTCTAGCACCTTTGTTAAAAAGACCAACCTTTCTCCGTGACTCGTCTTTGTCCTTTTGTCAAAAATCAATTCATCATAAATGAGTCCGTTTTTTTCACTCTATCCTATTTCATTGATCTGTGTTTCTTTAAACCAATACCACAGTCTCAATTACTACAGCTTTTAAAATAACTTGAAATCAGGTAGTATAACTTCTCCAACTTTGATCTTTTTAAAAATTCTTTTGTCATTTTTGATTCTGGTCATTTTTGATTCTTCGCATTTCCATGTAAATTTTAGAATCAGCTGGGCAATGTCTACCAAAAAAAATCTTATCAAGATTTTGATTGGGATTCCATTGATTCAATAGACCACTTAAAGAAGAGTAGATAAGATTAGTCTTCTGATCCATGAACATTATATGTCTTTCCATTTATTTAGGTCTTCTTTAATGTCTATCAGTAATGGACTGGTGTCCTTAAAAGAGAAAGATTTGGAGACACACAGCCACACAGGGAAGAAAGCCATGTAAAGACAGAGACAGAGATTGGAATTATGCTGCCACAAACCAAGGGATGTCAAGGATTGTTGGTAACCACCAGAAGCTAGAAGAGTTAGGGAAGGAATCTTCCCTAGAGCCTTTGGGAAGAGCATGGTCCTGCCAACACCTTGATCCCAAAACCGTAAGAGAATAAATTTCTATTGTTTTAAGTCAACTGGTTTGTGGTAATTTGTTACAGCAGCCCTAAGAAAACTAATGCATGATGATAACACTAATTATCTCAATTTTGCTAATTTTTTTCAAGTTCAGTACTTGTAAATTCATCATACTGAAGTAAGCTTTAAATGACAAAACTTTTAAAGTATATTCAAACTCTATTAATATAGTCAGCACAGTACATAAAGAACTACAATTTTTAAAAATGATTTTAATAACCTAATATCATGAATTATGGCATGTCTATTTCCTTCAACTTTTTATTGTGGAGAATTTTTAATAAAAAGCTTATATTTACTGAAATGCATTTAAATAATATGAATGACTTTAGAATTGCTAAAAGCCAAAGGTAAATTTCATTTACTAAAATTTGTAAGCAGCCATTATTCACCACGTCAGTGATTCAGTAAACATTAGTTGAATGTTTACTATGTGCTAGGCACTGGGCTAGATCTAGGAGGTAAAGCTCATTCTGGCAACGAGATGCATGACTGCATAGAGACACTACTGAATGAATCATTAAGTTCTTTTCATTTCTGGGATTTCATTATTCTACAAAATTAGGGAAGACCTCAGTTTGTAAATTAAATTGTCATTGTACCTTATTTTTAAGAAGCATTTATTTAGGGGTGCCTGGGTGGCTCAGATGGTTAAGCATCTGCCTTCAGCTCAGGTCATGATCCCAGGGTCCTGGGATCGAGTCCCACATCGGGCTCCCTGC